GGGCGGCGCTTCTTTTTTAAAGCGGCCCCACCAAGCCCGGCTCTGCTCCTCTCCAGGCAGGGCTGGCGGGGCCGGCCGTGCACCGCTACCCGTCGGTCCCGGGCGGCCCGGAGGGGGATTTGCAACGGCCGCCGCGGGCCTGTGGACCAATGTTCCCCTTTAAGCCTGGTGTCTCGCCCCCCCTCGCCAGGCCCGCCGCTTACCGGCTCGCTTTGCGCCCTCCGCCTCCTCCCGAGAGCGGGCCGCGGGCCGCTCCCACAATGCACCGGGCGCGGCCGGGCTCCCTTAAGCGTCGCCTGAATAAAAATGCGGCTCCGGCGGCGGCGGCGGCGGGGCCCGGGCCTGCGCCGGGGCGCCGCAGGGGCCCGCCTGGCTCGGCGCGGCCCTGCGCCAACCGGGCGGCAGCGCTCCCGCCAGCTGGGAGTCGAGGGTCCTTTAAGGCCGGCCACCTCCCTTTAAGAGGCGGCGGGCCGCGGCTGGGGCGGCTCGGTGGCTGCTTGCGGCCCGGGAAGGGGGCGGGGGCGCTGTGCAGGCCCGAGCGCGGCAATGATTGGTCTCGGGGGAGGGGTGGGGGGTTGCAAACCCGAGGAGCGGTGGCATCCGTTGCATGATGCAAAAAGGATTGATTTCAAAAGTTGCGAGTTGCATTGGCAGCAGCCTTTGGCGCCCGGGCCCGCTGGAAGGGCCGGGAACGGCTTCCGCCACCTGGTCGGGCTGGACCGCGCCGCGCTCTGCGGGACGCTGTCCCTCGCTCCCCGCGCGTTGCCGCCCGACCGCCCTGGAGGACAATGGCTACAGGAACAATCTGCCAAGGAGCCCAGGAAAAGCGGCCTCTGCGCCAGGGAGAGATTTGAAAACACACACAGCGCGCTTCGTGCGCGGTGACTCCCATCAACTCTCACTCCTATTGTTTAGCTCGGCCTCGAAACTGCCCGGAGTCTCAGTGAAATGTGGAAGTGCCCTGCAAAGTTTCTTGAACACTGAGCATACGCTTGGTAGGAAATCTTGGCCCAAAACAAGCTCACCCGGTTACCCTGACTTTTACACATTCCAGTAAACGTGGCGGTCTGGTTAACTGTATGTGTTTGAATTGACGTCGAGATGGGGCGGGCTTCGGCTGGTGAAATAATTTCTTTGAGGGTTTCCGAGTGTCTTAATACATTGCTGATGAAAAATAAAGCAAATGCTTTATTTAAGTCGACGTCTTTTAGGGCTTCCCTTAAAACTGGTGTAGAGGGAGGCCGACCAAACTTTTCTAGGAACTGGGTCAGTGTTTTGCAAATGCTGGGGGCAGCAGTGTTTGGGGTTACCCTTTGCACGCCACGTTCTTAAAAGTTCTGCTTACCATTTCCCTGCGGTTTTAATCTAGGTGTGAAGGCAGACGTGACGCCACCTGGAAGACCCGGTGGATGCTGGCTCCCCCTGGTTTTGTGTCCTTTCTCTGTGCCCTAAAATTTGGAAAGAACACTGGGTTCTTTAGTGTGATATGGTAGATTTTTGTGGGCATGGCATGACTCCGTCGTTGACTCGCTTGGATTTGCCTTGGAAACATCTGGAAGGACACACAAAGTCAGTGACACAGCATCAGGGAAGAAGGGGACAGATCTCTTTACTGCTCCCTCCTTCCCTTTTTAAAATAGATATTGCATTTTTGGTCCTGGGAGGTTTTTTTTGTGGGAGGAGGGTTTAAGGAAGAAAAAAGTCACAACTACAAAAAAGATTGGGAGGGTGGGGAAAGGTGATACAGCAGAGGTTGCAGGGCCCTATGTGAAAGTTTGTATTGAGGAGTTGGCGTTCATGCCTTAACAAGCAGTTTGTCAGATTTGTCTTTCATAAGTTTAGTCCTGGTGACAATGTTGGAGCCACATCTTTAGTTAAGAGGTTATTGTACTAGTCATGCCTCATAGTGAATACAGGGAATGTTGCCGAGGACAAGGACTTGATGTGATTTAGGGTTTACCATGGAGAGAAAGAAGCATAAGATTTCTACTTTGGGGGACTGGGTGGGTACTGAGGCTACTAACTGGTAGAGCAATTTCTGTAAAGCAAACAAGTTTGGGGGTGAGTTCAGCTTTGGAAATGTTAAAATTCCAGACTGCCGGACATTCCGTTTGGAAGGTAATTGAAAAACTGATCTGGAAGGTAATTGAAAAACTGGTTGGGAGCTTGGGATGGGGTAATTCTCGGGAGTTTGAGATGGAAATCTGGGCTCATCAGCATGAAAAGAGCGTTTGAATCCTCAGTTGGAAGGGAGATTAACCTGGTGGGATAGCTCAGGAAAAAAGTGAAAAAGACCTTGGACAGAGCTCTTGGAAATCGAGTGGCGAAGCTGGCCAGAGGTGATCTCTGCTAAGTCTGTAGGAGATAAACATCCGCGGAACCAAACTCTTCCTCCCTCTGCACCCTCACTGGGCTGGGACTCTCCACCAGCTGCAAAACAGCTGGAGCACAGGGTGTAAGCCACAGATGCCTCCATTCATTTGCAGCCAGGATGCAACCTTGGCCCCAGCTGATCCCGCGGACCTCTCACCCCTCCCTCCCTTTGCCCTGGACATGAGCTGCTTTCTCTCCTGCTTTGCTCTCCTGCTCTCTGAGACAGCCCTCTCTCTGAGGCCTCCCCCAAGGATGCAAGAAAACCCCATTCCAGGGAGCCACCTCCCCTGGGTTTTCAGGCTGTGCTATCTCCATCTGAGTAATGGTTCCCCTGAGTTGCATTACCTGGCTGAGGCTTATTAAAAATACACATTTACCTACTGGAAAAGTTATATCTAGCAGGGTTGAACCGTGTATGCTCCTCCGCCCCACTGGGCAAAAGATGTTTTGACGTCCTAACCACTGGTACCTGTGACGGTGGCCTTATTTGGAAATTAGGTCCTTGCAGATGTAATCAAAGTATGATGAAGTCGTGCTGGATTAAGACACACCCTAAATCCAGTGGCTTGTGTCCTTGTAAGAAAAGGGAGATTTGGAGACAGCAACACAGAGGAGACACGCTGGGAGGCCAACCAGGTGAAGACGGGCAGAGACTAGGTGATAGCACACCATGACCACCGGCAACACCAGAAGCTAGAGGAGGCCAGGAAGGACGCTTCCCTAAAGCCCATGGGAGGAGCCCAGGCCTGCTGACACCCTGCTTTCCCACTGCCAGCCTGTGAGAAAATACAGTTCTGTGGTTTTAAGCCACCACAGGAAAGGACTCCCGCAGGTCTGAGGTGTGTGTGGTGAGCTAGGATGCTAAGGACCCATGTTTTATCAGGTTATCAGGCTCCCTAGGTGATTCTAATGCTTTTGAGGAGCTGCCCTAAGAATTCTGCTGCCTCTGAAACCCAGAGGGATGAAAGGCTGCCTGTTCTCCTGCACCCCACATTCTGCCCACCCCAAAGCAGCTTTGGTGACATCACCTTCCTGTGGCCTGCCTTTCTCATCCAGGCTGGGTGCAATAGCTCATGCCTGTAATCCTAGCACTCTGGGAGGCGAAGGTAGGTGAATTGCTTGAGCTCAGGAGTTCAAGACCAGCCTGAGCAAGACCCCATCTCTAGGCTTGGTGCCCGTAGCTCAGTGGTTGGGGCACTGGCCACATACACCAAGGCTAGAGGGTTTGATCCTAGCCCAGGCCCGCTTAACAACTGCAACAACAATAACAAAAATAGCCAGGCCTTGTAGTGGGCACCTAGTCCCAGCTACTTTGGAGGCTGAAGCAAGAGAATTGCTTAAGCCTAAGAATTGGAGGTTGCTGTGAGTTGTGACTCCACAGCACTCTACTGAGGGCGACATAATGAGACTCTGTCTTAAAAAAAATAAATAAGACCTCATTTTTACTAAAAGTAGAAAAAACTAGTTGGGTGTAGTGGGGAGCACCTGTAGTCCCAGTACTCAGGAGGCTGAGGGAAGAGGATGCTTGAGCCCAAGAGTTTAAGGTTGCTGTGAGCTATGATACCACAACACTCTACTCGGTGACAAAGTGATACTGTCTCAAAAAGTAAAGATAAAAAAGAAGAGGGTGGTGCCTGTGTCTCAGTGAGTAGGGCACCGGCCCCATATACTGAGGGTGGTGGGTTCGAACCGGACCCTGGCCAAACTGCAACAAAAAATGGCCAGGCGTTGTGGCGGGTGCCTATGGTCCTGGCTACTCGGGAGGCTAAGGCAAGAGAATCGCCTAAGCCCAAGAGTTGGAGGTTGCTGTGAGCTGTAACACTACAGCACTCTACTGAGGGTGACAAAGTGAAACTGTTTAAAACAAAAAAAGAAGAGATCTTGGATAATCTAGGGAGAATGAGAGCCCTATGTTTGGTGGGCAGAATAATGGTCACTCCCTGATATCCTTATCCCCAGGACCTGTGAATATATTACCTTACAGGTCAAAACGGGCATTGCAGATGCGATTAAACTAAGAATCTTGAGATGGCGAACTCTCCTAGGCTATCTAGGCGAGCTCAGTGTAGTAACTAGGGTCCTTATAGGGGAAGAGGAGAGGTAGGAGAATCCGTAAGAAGTGGATCCCCGCCCCAGGCCTCCAGAAAAAAATGCAACCTTGTGCACTCATATTACACCCCTGATCTCCAGAATTATAACATAATAAGACATCTGTGCTATTTGAATCCACAAAATTGGTGGTCATTTGTTAGCGCAGTCATAGGTAACCCATATCCCATCCTCTGTGCACCTCTCTCTGCCTCATATAATCCTCATTTCGGAAACTGTTTTGCTGATTTGCAAGGATATTCCACAGACCCCATGAACTGTGTATGTTTTGTAGAAACTGTGTCTTCAATATCCTGGCACCTTAGTGCTTTGCTTGGAATGTGATAGGAATGATAAGAAAGTGGCATTCTGGAATGTGGGGACAAAGAGAATTTTAAGAAGGTGAAAGGACTTGGCGCCTGTGGCTCAAGCAGCTAAGGCGCCAGCCACATACACCTGAGCTGGCCGGTTCCAGTCTAGCCCTGGCCGGCCAAACAACAATGATGGCTACAACCAAAAAACAGCCGAGTGTTGTGGCAAGCGCCTGTAATCCCAGCTATTTGGGAGGCGGAGGCAGGAGACTCGCTTGAGCCCAGGAGTTGGAGGTTGCTGTGAGCTGTGATGCCACAGCACTCTACCCAGGGTGACAGCTTGAG